ACAGAGCGATGTAAGGGTCAGTGTTTAGCTAAATATCTGAGGCTGAACTGAAGCTGGCTCTAGATTTGGAAACTGAGGCGAGTCTGGGTGTGGAACCAGACGCTGAGGCAAAGTTTCCTCTGCCCATCAATGAAACAATGACACCACAGTTACAGCCCAGAAATAAAGGCCCTATTATGCATTTGAACATACATTAAACAGAATACAATACAATACTATAGAATAGAATAGAATATTGCATTGCTAATCAGACAGTGTGAGCCGAGGAAACAGAGTAATCGTACAGTGAAGTTATTACTCGGTATGAGCTCAGTATTGTGCTGTTGCATGGCAACAGTTTCCACAGAAATCTTTGCTCAGAAACACTCCTCGCTGGTCTTCACATAACTGCAACGAGCAGAAAAATGAGCTGAGTGCAGGAATACAAATGGTCTCATGAACCATTTTAGCTTGCATGGTCGAAGGGGTTGTATTTAGTGTATTTTAATTCAGCTAATATGGACACTGTAATGTGAGAGTTCATGTAATTCAATGATTTTATAACAAAGCCTTTTTGTTTTGGGCCTGCACTGTATCACAGTCAACTCAGGGTGCAGAATAAAGGCTTAGAAGATTGGACACTCTTATATATACAGTATATATATATATATACAGTATAACATGCAAAACCACCCGTGTTACCAGTTGTACGATAATTATCGTACAATCTTAATGCATGATATACGATGATTTTATCATTTTGTGACACTTAGTATTATCAGTTGAAATCTGGATAGTAAAATAAGGATCACGTCTGTGCTTACACATATCTTCTCACATGACGCTTTCCAGCAAATCATGCATGTTTTGATGATGAATGTGAATATGGACCCCTAGGTCTGTATTTACGCATCTCTTCTCTCGTGAAGGCTCGAGTCCTGTCAATACACGCTCAGCCAATCACGAGCTGTTTTCCCCTGCTTCAAGTCATAATGCTAAGCTAAGCTAACCGCATGGTCTGTCTTTTGGATGGGGTTAAATGCTTCATTAGTACATTAATCTTGGCTAGGATTAGCTAAATCATGCTCAATTATTTCACCACGAATCAGTTACAATTAGATTTTTGTGGTTTTATCTTGAGCAGCAGATGTGTTCGATATCATTTTTGCTGTGCTGCAAAAAAACCCATGATCTTGTCAGTGCCATTGTTTCCTTTCCATCCTGATGATCATCAGATGTTCCACCTACCACACACTCCTCCACCTGCAGGCCGCCTCAGTGAAGCCTCTCCACAGCTGATGGTTTTTTGTGCAGACGCTCGGTGAACGGCAGTGCTGTGATGGCAACTGCCAGTGGCCCTCATGCGCAGGCATTTCACATTTTGCCGCATCATGCCTCCTCCTCCTCATCCTCTGAACTGAAACATCTATTTTCGCAGCACAATCAAAGGAGAGAAAATGAGCAGTGGTGGGATTTGCATTTGGCCAAATCCTCTAGTAGCCTATTAGTACTTTGAGTATTACATATTTCTGTTACTTCATACTTTATGTCGCCACATTTCCGAGGTAAATATTGTAGTTTTTTCTCACCTTTACCTTGCAGCTGTGGTGACTGGTTGATTTCCAGATTCAAATTGTGAATACAAGATATACAAAACAAAAACAAATTACTATGTGATAGCATAATATATTATATACTATTATAATAATATATCATAGCTTTAGCAAATCATCAGTATATAATGTAGTTGGAATTAGCCCCACCTAATGCAGTATTATATAACAGTGTATATCATTGGTGTGTATTACTCTAAAATACTATAGTTTTGCACATGTCTTTATACCACTTTTTGATGCTTACACTGTACGTTCACTTAAATGAGAATTCTAAATACATACATTTAAAAAAGTAAAATGTTTTTTTACACTGTGGTATTGCTACTTATACTGTATTTTTTCATTTACCTTTTACCATTTACCATTTACTATGCTAATGTCAATAAACCTAAGATATACCGACATATAAAAAAAATATTTCTTGTACTTCTCCAACTGGAAGTTTTAAATGAAAAAAAAGAAAGTTATTGCTGTCATCAGGTTCTCAAACTCAGGGCCTATTTACTCACAACACAATGCTGCACTCTTCTGGTCTGGAGAGTAAAGTGCATTTCTTACTGTAAGGCATTGAAATCAGGCCTTGGAAATAAATCTGGCTGCAGGTTTGGTGTTTAAAGATGTGAGATCCTTAGTGTAGCCCCAGAACATCTCTGGAGGTTTAAGAATGCACAGTGATGTAGGAATATGTATTTATAGGCAGATTGAATAGCATTTTTAAGAAATGTAATGGTAAAATACCTCAAATCTTGTGCAAAAGAAAAGCACAGAGTGTTGCTGAATAGGTTGATAAGGGAATCTAAGGACAGAAAAAAAATTAAAACAATACACAGGCTGTCACAAGGCTGCCATCTAGTGTTTCAGCAATAGTTTGTAGCAGAAACGGCATTTTCACAAAATCAATGACTCTGTTCTGCAATTACTCAAAGTTACTGTTTGAAATTCGATTTTTTTATTATCTTCAACAGCTGTAGGAAAATGTAAAAATATCTTCTTTATCGAGCATATTTAAATTTTAAAGAACAAATCAAAGTAAATAAATCATATTACATTCATGAACCAATCGTTCCATCTGTAATTTAGATATCAACTGAATGCTAAACAAGGAGGAAAGTGAGAATAACATCCAGTTTCAATTGCAACCTTTTAAATCTATTTATTGCACTATCCATCTTTTAAATGTTAATTTTATGCACTAAAGTGATACAATTTTTTTTAGCACAGTAAGCATGACAACAAAGCATTAAGATTTCAGTCTGCATCAATGCATGTGTGGATTTAGTTTGTACACTCTGTGAATGTGTCGACTTCATACAAGTCCTCCAGCTCTCCGTCTCTGCTCCCCTCGTTGCTGACTTTCCTGTGGACAAATACTCTCCGTCATGTTGTTGAAGGGAGGAGAAGGAGAAGGGGTGGAACAGTAACACTAGACTAAAAATGTTACAGAGAACATGTCCTCCACAGAACAGCTCATCACTTTTTATCCACATTAACCTCAAGAGGACACAGGAGAAGGAGGAAACACAAAGCACTCAACAACAACCCTGTGTGTGTGTGTGTGTGTGTGTGTGTGTGTGT